GAGGAAAACAACTCCTGGTAATTTTGTCAAGCAGTGCAAATTCTGACTGCTAGGCAGAATTCCTATTGACAGGCATGCTCCTCCATTACAACAGAATGCAAACAATGAGTCATTCTCTTAGGATGACTCAGCTTGGAAATGATTAGAAACAGACAACTCCCCCTCCATTACTCAAGGAATTTTGCTCTTGTATGTATTTGACTTTTAGACTATATGGTGGCAATCACAGTTCAAAGCTGATTTTCTTCTAGGTGCATTTTATATCACATATTTTTTCTGGAACGACTTTGCCTAATCTGGTGCCTTCTAGATATTTGTGATTTCAGTACCCATCAGACCCAATGATCAGGAATATTGAGTGCTGGAAAAAAACTGTTTTTAGTGATAGGGAGGTGTACATAACTAGGATATGGAATGCAGTGTACATAACCAGGGATGTGGTGGCTTAGTAGTTAAAATGCCAATTCTGACGATTGGAAGATCGGAAGGTTCCAATTCGAGGGTGAGTGCTACATGATGGGGTGAGCTCTTGTCACTAGTCCCAGCTTCTGCCAACCTAGCAGTTGAAAAGCATGCAAATGCAAGTAGATAAATAGGCACCACTTCAATAGGGAGGTAACAGCATTTGGTGCAGTCATGCTGGCCACATGACCACTGGAGTACAGACAATCCTGGCTCTTTGGCTTAGTAACGGAGATGAGCACCACCCCCTGCAGTTGGTTACAACTAGACATTCATGTCAAGGGACTACCTTTACCTTTACAAAACTAGTACATAGGGAACTTATGGAGCAGGTACCACAACCAGCATTAGTGGTACCTGCACTTTAAGACCTGTACTGAGGTTAGTGCCCAGGGATTTCCTGCTCAAGTTTAGTTGCTTGTTTGATCTGAAGAGTATTGATTTCATACTGATGGAATGATAATTGGATGTCCTGTTTGTGATGAACCGAGCCTAGCTGTTGTGACAGAATAAAAGGAGAAATCGTGCAGCCCCCCAAATATTGTTGGACTGCAGCTTCTCACATTCCTCACCATTTGCTGCGCTCCCTAGGGCTGCTGGCAGACCAACAACGTCTGGATAGCCACATTATTACTACCTCTCTTATAGCAGGGATGTGATGCTTATAGCACTCCAGATGTTTCTGAAATGTAACACTCACCTGCCTCAGACAGCATAGCCAATGGTGAAGGATGCTGAGTTGCAGGCTAACATTTGGAAGGCCCCAATTTGCTCACCCTTGCTCTATAACAGGGGTAGGCAACCTTTCCCCTTTAAGGGCTGAGGGACTTCAGCTCCCAGAATCCCAGGAGCTATTGGCCAACATGGGACTATTGGCCAACATGGCTGAGGCTTCTGGGAGCTGAAGTGCCTCGGCCCTTAAAGGGGAAAGGTTGCCTACCTCTGCTCTATAATATAGTCACTTGTCCTATAGTAAGTATACAGTGAGTGAAATATCCAGTTAATATCCATTGAAATAAGATGCATAGTCTCCTCTGACATTTGAGCTTATCTCTCTTGCCAAATTAAGCTGGTTTACTTTTTATGGCTTCAATCCTGGATCCGGGATGCCCCCGGATGTTATCAGACATAAATCGCAGCCGATTTAGCCGCAGTGCCACCGGCTGAATCCATCCCAGGTCAAAGTCTCACTCAGCTGGCACTTTTTTGAAGTCGAGGAGCTTTCGACTTCAAAAATTGGCCGGCTCAGCGAGGCTTTGACCTGGGATGGATTCGGCCGATGGCACTGCGGCTAAATCAGCAGCGATTTATCTCTGATAATATCTGAGGGTATCCTGGATCCAGGACTGAAGCTGGAAGAGGTAAGCCAGCTTAATTTGGCAAGCAATAAGCTCCTATAATGATCTACTTCCTGTGTTACTTTTCTTAGCATATGTTCTTAAGATAAGAAAGTGGTAAGAATATGTGTGAGTCTGTAGTTTGCCACAGGCCAAATGCTTGTTGATTTAACTCTGATATTTTGTTGTTGTTGTGTACCTTCAAGTCATTTTTTTACTTATGATGACCCTAAGGCAAAACTATCATGAGGCTTTCTTGGCAAGATTTGTTCAGGGGAAGTTTGCCATTGCCTTCTCCTGAGGCTGAGAGGATATGGCTTGCCCAAGGTTGCCCAGAGGTTTTCACGGTTGAGCTGGGAAACAAACCCTGGTCTCCAGAGTTGTAGTCCAGTACTCAAACCACTACACCATGCGGCCTCGCTTATTTCAGTTTTATCCTGATCAGACCAAGTAATTCTTAGGGTGGAGGAAAATTTCCTCAACTCTGATATATACTGAGGAAATTTTCTTCCACCCTCAACAAATTTTCTTCCACCCTCAACTGTTCCCCTCTCTCACAGCCAGGAACACAGCTGAGCGCCGCCAGGAACACAGCTGAGCGGCCTGCGCCACCCCGCCACCCGCAGTTGCCAGGAGGAGCACTGGCAGCTTTAAAACGCCGCCTGACACCACCTTCCCCGGCTCCACGCGGTGAGGCGCGCTCCGGAGGCTGCGGAGGACTGTTTTCCTCTTTCGCAGCGAGGAACACAGCTGAGCGCCTCCAGGAACACAGCTGAGCTGCCTGCGCCGCCCCGCCCCCCGCGGCTATCAGGGACTAACACCTTCCCTACTAATTCACCGGTGGCTAGTATGCGGCTGGAGAAACCGGGAAGAGTTAAAACCCTTCCCCAGCAACATCTTCCCCAGCAACTACGCAATTTGTATCTCAAATGTATTATGTATTTAAATTGTATAGGGTTTTTATATTGTATATTTTTAACAATTGTTTTTAATTTGTTTGATTTGTTTTGAGGGGTGGGGTGGGTGAGGGTGGGAAGGAGGGATGGGTTTTGATTGATGTTATTTATTTGCCTAATGTTATTTCCTTTGTTGTTGTGATTATTTTACGCCGCCCTGATTGCTTGGCAGAGGGGCGGGATATAAATTATTATTATTATTATTATTATTATTATTATTATTATTATTATTATTATTATTATTATTAACAACTGCTTGGTCTGATCAGGATGAAGCCAACATAAATCTGTGATGCTCAAACCTGTGATCTTCAGGAGTTTCCTGGTACATATTTTAAGATGGTGTATCAGCAGTAAGAAGTTTTCACTTTCAAAGTTTCTAGTTCTTACAGTCATACTGACAAGTTTAAAAGATGGCAAAATGAAATTATTTCATTAAATGTTGAAATAATTAAAAATGATATTGTCAGATTAATCTTATTGTGTGTCACCCTGGGAGTGCTGGATAGAGGGCAGAATATACATATTTTAATAAGAAAGAAAAAGAAAGAAAGAAAGAGACTGAGACAATTTGAGGTTCATACAATCAAGATTTTTTCTGATTCAATATTTTCACAGTATAGTAGAATATGTGCAATAAGCCCACCAAGAGTTAATAAGCTATATTCAAATTACTTCCATACAGCTAATGGAAATTTGGCACAGTTAAGATGAAGAATTTAAAAGCCTCTTTGAAAAACAGTGGCATTCTTCTGTCATTAATGGCCCTTCCTTCACTATTAATGACGCAGAATTTAGCTGACATCTGTTTAGTATTTTGGATGTTAAAAGCCAGATGTATGACCTTGTAAATATTGCAATTCACGTTTACAGTTGGGGCATCATTGCAATGACCACAAATGCTCCACAATCCGGTTTAGGAGCCTAGGCACTAGGGAACAGGGTGCTGAACAATGATGGGTCTCTCTCTCTCATCTGTAAGGTGCAGTGTGAAAAGCTGTTGTAACAAAACCCTTTAGGGGTGCCTGATTTTCACATGGCACCTCACTGGTAGGAGGAGGCTGGAGGCTGGATGTGTTCAGCCCCCTTCTCTCAGAACTCCTTTGGTTGGGTGTTGGTGGGTCTGACAGATGTAGCTACAATGACAGAGCTCTGTTGTTGTAGCTGTATCTGACTATGCAGGATTTCATCCTTCATTTCCAAAAACAAATTTTAAACCATATAATGGAATAGTTACAATTTAAGAATGGGAAGCATCTTCAAGTTATTTTCATGTAGTACACTGCATATAACTGTCCTTGAGTGGTTAAAAGGCTGGGCGTTTTTGGCACTCCATATGTTTTGGTATACAGCTCCAATAATTCCTAACCACTTGGCCTGCTGGTTGAGGATGATGGGAACCACAAGTGTAAATATTTGGAGGACAAAAGGCCTCCCCCCCCCCAGACACTGCTTTAAGGCAGCCTTTCCCAGCCTGGGACCTCACAGTCTGTTGGACTCCAATTGTACAATGTGATGGGATAAAATAGAAATAATAAAAGAGTTCTCAC